ACACTGATGATGGCAAACTACACTGTACCCTGGGGCACACTGACAGAGGTGGGGCTGCCATGCATCGGTGCCACCGGACCCTCTGACCACCATCAGTAGGCAAGGTGGGTGAAGTGTCTTGCCCAAGGACACAACGACTGAGACGGCTGGACGGGGGATCGAACCAGTGACCTTCTGGTTCCAGGACGACTCCCCTAACCACTCCGCCACAGCCCCCCCCACAGAACGAAATGTCTGAATGAGTGCTCATCCAAGACTGGTGATTCCATACTTTTTGCTAGGGGTTGTGTATCTAGTCAGAACCTCTCAACCTCACACACCAGCTCAGGCTTCCTCCCCACCAGAGAGGTGAAATTCCACATCCCTTGAGCAAGCTTCTGTAGCTGAGGATCAGACCGCCATGGTCCCTGTCTTTGACCACTGCCCGTTACATGTTACACATTAACATAAATTATATAATTAAAACAAGTTGCAATACAATGATAAAATTCTTAATTCAGTCGATTTTCAAGAGTTCTTTCAAATTTATGCTGATAAGGTTTTTGTCTTACTTTGTTACAACTTCAGTATAAAACTAATTTCAAACATTTTTCTATCAGTACTGTGTTTCACATTGTCAAAGTGAGACAACTCTCCTATGCCAATACCTTCTGTGTTTTCCTGATTGTAGGAGCCATGTCTTTGAAGTAGTCAGGCTCCTCGTCTGTATCATTTGGAGGAGGGGAAACGTTTCCATTCCCACCTTCAATTTTAATACTTGTAGGAGCTTCTTCATCCCAAGAGCTCCACTCTTCGATCTCTGGCTGTGAAGACTTGGAAACAAAAAACATCAAACATGAGTTTATTTAAAATTTATTTATTTAAAAAAAAGTTTAAGTTTATTTAAAACGTCTTAAGCTCTTATTTCTAAAACAGGTGAAGTTACCTGATACAGTACAAACCTGTTTTGGTATAGATGATGAAAAATCCACTGTTGTTGGGAGAGTTATTTGATCCCCACTGAGCTTGCGGCCCCTTCCACTCCTAAAAAAAGATTGATGCAAGAATGATTCCATTTTTTGACTGCACAAGAAGAAATAAAGGCATAAACCAAATGTATGTAAAAACCACATTCAGTCAAGTCATTTTCAAACAGTTGGATTTTAACATAATACATTCTGATCTTGTGGTTCATGAGTAACAAATGAACAACATGGACTTTCCTCATGACTTCTTGAAATCAAAGAGTCTTTTTTGTTTGTTTTTCTTGCTCTGCATGGCTCTGAACTCACTGGCTTATTTTTGTTGTGTGTGCGATTGGTTTTATCATCCCTTTCAACATGCACAGCAGACCTTGTGGACCCTCATAGACAAAGACAGATGACAAAATTTACATCACAGACAACGCAGTTGAGCAAACAGTCAAGCGCACTTTGAAGTATTCATTTTGTCTAAATTTGTTGGTGTTAGTCACGTTCCATTCCACAGTAACTACAATGACTAGGGTTAAACAATATCAGGACAAAATGAAATCGCAATATTATTGTAGAATGTTGCAATGATGATAATTTGCAATTAACCAACAGGAAGCAGTGGCAGGATAGCTGACTTGGGACCAGGAAGTCACAGGTTCGATTGTCATCAATTTGTCATCTATACGTTGAAGTGTCTTTGAGCAAGATGTCTACTCCCTATTTTCTCTCTGGGCAATACATACCGTATTTATTCGTGTATAATATGATCTCATGTATAATATGACCCTCCCCCGCCCCCCCACTTTTTTGACCTTAAAAAGCATAAAAATTTTAATCCTCAAACTACCTCAAATTTCATACAGACTTCATGATTTTTCAGCCTTTGCAGTCTTTACACATATCAGTAAAATGATCATTGGACTGTTCATTTTAACAACATATGTACTAAAAGGTATTTTGACAACAAATATATATCAGCAGAAGCAGCATCATATAAATTCTGGCATTTTACACATAGTCCACCAGGATGCGCCAACACAAAAGTCAGAGAATTCACAGAGATTTGGGCCATCTTGTGGGGGAAAAGCAGATTACTTCCTACTCGCGAGCACCCCCTCTGGTGGGGAAACGTTTTTTCAGGGATACAAACTTTTTCAGAACACTGGTAGACGGCCGCCATTACAGACGAACATGTTTGTTGTTGTTTGAGGAGCGGCCCAGTCACATGCTAATGTCATTAGTTCGCTATCATTACTAAGGTGCAGGAATACTCCCCCCACCCCCCTTTTTTTCACATCATGTCGCCTGCCTGGATCTGTTATTATCTCACTCTGAAGAACGGAGGAGCATCAGAGGTAAGCTCGTTTCAACTGCTTTTTACGATGCGGTCTCATTTCCGGACTAAGGTATTTTGTGAATGAAGCAGATATTTCAGTTAAAATACATAAGTAAAAATATTTATCCGAGTATAGTACTACCCCCCAACTTTATGGATGATTTTATGGATTTAATTTTACATTTTATACTTGAATAAATACGGTAGATGCCCGATGCTCCACTTGGGTGTATCTCATGTGTGATGAGTGGTATGGAGGACTGAAACTTAAAAGTTTAATTTAAAAAAGGGCACAAGTATGTGTTTTACTTCTTGCCTTTATTTTAAACTAAACTGTAAACTTTAAGCTAAACTGAGGCAGCACAAGCATGCACAATTGATCTGCAGATGGATCCTTCCTGTCTGTTGACTAATAGTAGAGGAGTTGACCCAAGAAGCTCTGCCCACCTTATCTGCAGGAGACAAAGAAATGTAAAAGCAACACAAGTTATTTATTTATTTATTTATTTATTTATTGGTCCTTTAATTTACTGTATTTCTGCCTTTATTGCTAATTATGTCAGTTTCGGTCCTCCATAGAGTGGGGATCCTTCTAAGTACCAAATTTACGTTTTTTGCATGCAGTTTGTGCCTGCAGTTGTTTTGGAATCCTTTGCAATATTGATATTAGACACACTGATATTGCGATATCCAACTTTTTTCTTTTCTTTGTTTTTAACTGTGGTACAGATAAAGAGAAAAAACATTTTCACAATGCTTTGTCTGCAACTCCATATGAGCTCTAATTAAGCCTTGCAGTGTAACAATAAGGGCACAATAAGAATGTGCCTTCATTATTGTTGCCATTAGCTAAGCTTATCAAAGTCAAAGACTAAATTCCAAAAGTGCCATTTTGAACAGAAGTGGTGATTATGAATCAAAGATGAACTAACTCAGAGTCTACAATTTAGTGGCCTTTCTGAAGTTTGACATGCACCTCCCCAGAGTTTAGAATGCAACATGAAAGGAGGCTGCAGCTGTATCAGGCTTGATCGTTATGTTAATGTAATGGCCATTTCCCAACAAGCATCTATGTGACAGTTCAGAGGAGAAGACAAACAAAAGTAAATATCAACCAACAACAAGATTATCAAAATAAATATTGAGACAAGCAAGTAAATTATTTAACCAGAATACATAAAAATACTTGGAGAAAATGTCAGCAAACATTGGCTAGAATGACTGAATGAGTAACTTAATCTTGTGTAAATTAACTTTAAAATCCAAACCAAGAACTGATAACTGCAGTAAATGGCTGACAATGAATCAAAATGTTAAATAAATAAATAAATAAATAAATAAATAAAGATTTGCAGTAATGTTTAACTGACTGCCAATAAAATAGATACCTATTAAAATTAAGAGCTACACAGTCTTAATTATTTCTCTGTGAATTTAATAGGCATCGATAATATCTTCAAGTTTTTTTCTTTCCAGTAATTTTCTATACATCTGTATTTTAAACAAGTTTTAGAACACTGGTACAATTAAACAAACGAAAAGGATGAAGTGTCAGTGTCCTGTCCTGACCTTACCTAAGCTAACTGTTTATACTTTAAAACAACATAACTTATACATATAGCGTATGCCATCATAACCTTATAGTATTTTACATAAAGGAATAAAGATCAATAAACACTGAAAGCCAACTGATGATTTTGGTGTTCACTGATGCTTACCTGCATATCAACCTTTTAAAAAAGGAAACCAAGTTGGCTAAACATGTGCAAATCTTGAACAGACGGAACTGGGAGATGGCCATGATAAAACTGAGCTGGTAGCTGAGGGAAATAAACGGAAATTATGAACATTTAATTTTGCTCATTATAGCTGCAGGGTAAAAAGATACAGCAAATACGACAGGAGTCAGTACTACACAAGTCAATCAACCATATTGTTTTAATATCATTTAATGTAGTTATTAAGTCCTGCTTACATTACCACTGAACACAAAGCTAGGACTAAACCAGGTTATGCATGATTTTTCAATTAGTTTAACCCAACTAAGGGCCAGCACACTTTAGCATACAGGTACTCACCTAGGAAGATGTAGATGACGAATGATTTCTTGTGAATCAGGAGAAACAAGTTTATTTACAAACCGCTGCTTGTTAGCTTAGCCCAATGGGAAACATCACAATTCTGAAACCTTTCCCGAGCAACTCATTGGTCCAAATTAATATGATTTCGGCCTCAAGCATATCATGCGTGTGAAACCTTCCTACATTAATATGCAACCATAAAAATTCGCCTAGATGCGTGGTATCGCTCGCCTGTGTCCCAAGGCTGCCATTTCTGTCCTGGCCTTCTTCTTCGTCTTCTTCTTTTTCTTCTTCTTGGTTTCTTTTTTGGCGGTTGGCAAATGACTGAAAGGTGCATTACCGCCACCTACTGGTGTGGAGTGTGGACTGGATCAGCGCTACATATACAGTATTCACAATATGTACATATATAATTATTATTATTATAATTTATCATTGATTCTTTTCCCTGCTTTCACTCCAAACTCTAGTATGATGAATGTTACCCCGACTCGATCTACTGTATCCTTTGATGCATCTGTATATTTATTTACATATCCATAATATTGTTTATATATTCTATACATGCATCTGAGTTTATATTATTTCATTTTTCCCTAATAATTTCAAATCTACAGATGGTTCTGTGAATAGCCATGGATGCATGATTGGTATTGGTACTGTTGGACTAAATGTTGTTGATTTGAATTATATTGTTTTCTGATTTATAATCCAACCAAAACTTTTTGTTTCTTTTTATTTCCTTTTGCCAGCATGGTTGTAATACTTCTTGAGTTGGATTATTTTGTTCATGACCTTTTAGATTAACCCAATAATTTGATGCTAACTGTTCTCTTCTGATGCTTAGTGGTGGTTCTCCTATTCTACTGTGCTACTGTGAGTGTTGTTTTAAATGCTCCTATAATTATTCTCAATTCTTGGCATTGAATATTATCTAATTTTTGTAAAGATAAATCTGATGCTGAGTTATATGCAATGGATCCATAATCCATTGTTGATCTAATTAGCCCTGTGCAAATAGTCTTTTTCTTGTCTTTAGTTTGTTTATTTTTTTGGCGGATGGTAAACAACTGTAAGGTGCATTACTGCCACCTGCTGATGTGGAGTGTGGACTGTGGCTCAAAATTGGAGAAGGATGTAGCTCAGCTGCAGCTTGCTTTATCGCAAGCCATTTTAGCATAAAATTGGTTCCGTCGGACTATCTGTAATTACATACTAGATATCTAAAAATGAGTTTTGACTAGGAATAACTACATTTTGACAGTCCGGAAGGGCTTGCCATACTTGCAGTACCGAAGCGACACGTCTCCGTGAGTACACACACCCACCACCCTAGCGTCTCCTCTTTTTTTTTTTTTGTTTGTACTCGCTGCTGTTAGGCATGGGAATAGGGAAGTATCACGTGACACTGCTGCATTCAGGAACTGTTGGAATTTAGACGATACGTTTAGAGCACGCAGACTAGAAATATTCAAATTAGATCTACTAGAGGTTATGTTTGAAACAAAAAACTTAACGTGCCTACAAGTGACATTGTTGCATAAATATTCCTATGTTTTAGTCCAAACACTTCCAAACTACGACTCATCAAATAACTAGTAAAGATATTTTGTAAAGTTAATAAACAGTTAAAGTTTTTGATTTGACAAAACTGAGTCAAAACAACCGAAAAAAGTCGTTGTTTACGATGTTGTTGTTTTCTTGGAAAAAATAGTAAGATGTAAGATTCGTCGATTTTTTTTTCTTGGGGGAAAAAACACAAACAAACACCGATGAACCTTACGTCATTATGAACTAGCCAATCAGTATCTGACTTAGCCGGAAGTGGCGTATTTTGAAAACTATCCTTTATCGTTTTCCACTGTCCGGATTTTACGACAGCATGAAAAGGTAAGATAACTTTGAATGGGCTTACATGGTCAAAGTTTAAAAAATACGTGTTTTTTTTTCTCATAGGAATTTTAAATTACGATTCAGTGGCATTACGTTAAGGGCGATGCTATATTAGTTTGTTATCTGCTTAAACTAACAGACTCGCTTTGTTACAAATAAGTATTTTTCTAGATCAGAGTGGCCATAACACGTTAGAAACAAAACAATACCTCAGCATTTGTTGGCTTTAGTTCGGATTAATGTTTGTTAGAGATGATTCGGTCATCAGAACAGTACAGATTTGTGCTAACATGACGTTACATTTGAGCCCTAACGTCGATTTGTCTTTTCACATTTTATTTTTCTGTAGCATTGTTGATTTTAGATAGAGTCCTATCATTTTACAGACTTTTCTGTGTTCGTTTCACTTGATGGCCAGACCCGAGAGAGCAGCAGATCCACGCGAGTTTTTATTTATTTATTTATTGATTGATTGTTAAAGAAAGTTCCAGTAAACGAGGCGTTAATCCTTCGAAGCACGTAACTTGGTCACCAAACGTGGAGTCTGTGTGTTCAAACTGCTGTAGCCGAACCGAACCAAAAAGAAAGGAAACTTTGCTGGAGGCGACGCGGAGGGCTTTTGACGCACCACGTCCTTCCCACTGCAGAAAACCTTTGGGCACCCGGATGACGCAACGTTCGTTGCTAAACTTTTAAAATGTCTTGAAATCGTAATTTTATCTGCGTTTTTGCTTCGTAGTACATTTTGAATACAAAGGAACATACAAGCCTTGTTTTGAAAAACGTGTGCATCTATGATGCCCATTTACAGATGGAGGAAGATGAACACACTGACAGAAAACAGCAGTTTGCCAGGCTTTATCAAAAAATTAATAAACTTAAAAAGTCCCTCAACGAAGGTAAGTGTGACACTTATTTTTGAAAAGCCAATTCATTTCAATATCCATGTTTGTTCGTTTTTGTATCTTTATCTACTGTCTGTTTCAGATGACACAAACAAAATAAACCAGGTCATCAGCTCAAACTCGCCTGAAACTTGTTACTCCTATCTGATGGAGCTGGAGAAGAAAGGAAATCCTCATCTGGATTATAGCCTTCTCACCAAGCTCATAGATTTTTATACTAAAGTGTTCTCCAACATGCCGCTGGGTAAACATTGTCAGAATGAAAATTATGCCAAGATGTTGGTCAGATTTGCAGAGCTTAAAGCGTGAGTATTCGTTACATGTTGAACAACAAATTATAAAAATGTGGCTTGCTTTTTAATACGTTAAATCATTTTTGGCTCTTAGAATTCAAGATGTCAACGAGGCGGAGGCTAACTTCAAAGTGGCAAGATCTCATTGTCCAAATTTTGCTTTTGTCCACATTGCACATGCACAGTTTGAGCACTCTCAAGGTAGACAAAAATTTGTGCTTTTTTATTGTCATTGCTTCTATCATTTTCAGTGTGTCACATCTTTTATTCATCTCATGTTCTCTCAGGTAACACAAAAGAAGCCATTTACATACTGCAGAGTGCCATTGAAGAGGGAGCTGAGCCAAAAGAACATTTGAAAGCCATGCTGCAGAGCATGCAGGCAGGAAAAACACAGTTCTGTTTGGAGGATAAGGAGAATCTTCCAGGTGTGTGCTTCTTCATATTTTACTAAATGCTTAACTGGTTGCAGGACTAATTTAGCTAAATATTAAGAACCACTATGTTATTATTTCTAACAAAATAACTTACCTATTATCTTTATTTATAGAGCACAGTTAAAATTATGATAAGTACGATTATGATAAGTATCAGCCACTACCAAGGGCAGAAGGACAAAAATATTTTTGCTTTTGTTTTTAGCACAAGCAAAAATATCTCATGAACCACTGGACAGATTTTAATGAAATTCAAAATAAGGTATCATTGAATGTGCATCTAAAACCAACAAAACTTTTGGAGTCAATTTGGTGTGGTAGCTAGCTCATCACGTGTGCTCTGTTTGTGAAACTTAGATTCAGTTTGGTTTGTCTCAAAATATCCCATGAACCACGTTGACAAATTTAAATGAACGTTGCAGAATATAGTCATTGAATGTATTTCTATAACTGATTAACTTTTGAAGACAACCCAATTTAAGATGGATGGCACATTCAGCTCACCTCAGGAAATGCAAAAATTACCATAACCTGCATTAGTTTTAAGATTTTGAGCTAAAATTTTGTGTGATAGCAGCTGAGGATCTTGCCCATAACATAAGCCAAATGCTACTCATGGCTAGCAATATTTGCCTAAAACTTTGACATTAACTATTTAAATCAGCCCTGTTTGACCATTTGCTAAATGTCCCAATAGTCACAGAATTGATTTTAATGAAACTCTCAGACAGTAATTATTGGATGTACCTCTACAAACGGAATAATCTTTTGAATTGACTTGATTCAATGTTTTCACCACAGCTAGCTGATCATAAACACTGTAATGGCTATGATTCAGTTAGTTTTGCAGATATTGGACTATATTTGATATAGTTGCTGAGAGTCAAACAGAACACACACTCAAGGATCAAGAATTTTTGTCTTTATATGTTAGCACAATGAAAAGTTGTTTGCTGCTTTATTTACAGGAAGAATGATAACATATGAAGCAATTAATTTTTGAATTGTGTATAAGGCTTGACAGATTAGCAGTAATGCAGGGCATTCAGCAGCAATTAAATATAGTTTATAGTTGTATTTGTGTTAAAGTGCATCACATTTCAATAGGAGGTATGACTTTGCAGGACTTTGAAAGTCATTTTGAAAATACTTTGGGTGAGAGGTCAGAGCATATGTGGTGATACATTTCACAGCCCCTGGGAATAAGTTGTGTCTTTAATGCTTTATACTTCCCAGATGGTAGAGGCACAGCCAGTGCATTTCAGGGGTGGGTGGGGCCTGCAACAGTCTGGCCCTCCTCTGTATCCTGGCAGTCAGTCCTTGTTGTCCTGTGCAATGGAGCTCTTGTACCACACTGATGCTCTGAAACAGAGGATACTCTAACTTGTGGCTCTTTAAAAGTTTGCAAGCAGCTGAAATAAGAGTCCAGACCATGTCAGCCTCTGCTAGGCCTTCTTCACACAGTGGGAGATGTTCAGAGACCATGTCCGGTTGGAAATGATGTGGATGCCCAGGAAACTGATGTTGTCCACTAGGGCTGCAACTAAAGATTATTTTAATAATCGATTAATCTGTTGATTATTTTTTCGATTAATCGGCCAAATCATTAAAAAGCTTAA